TTTAGAAAATGAAATGTGTATAGTGGATTTAATTGTAATGTCTATATGTCTGTTTTTAAAAATATTTTTTCCTATTTTTAATTAACATCATAATTTGACAGCTTTTCATTTCTCAATTATTGATTTTGGTTTTCTTCTAGGGGCCACCTTATCTTAGTTCCAGAATTTAGTCTTCCTTTGGAATACTACCTAATTCCCTTCCTTATCATAGTGGGCATCTGTCTCATCTTGATAGTCATTTTCATGGTAGGTACATTAACTTTTAATAATTAAAAAAAATAGTATGAATGAATCTAAAAACATTGTATTGAGTGAGAATTTATACCGTATATACAGAAAAGAGTACATATTGTATAAATTCATTTACATGAAGTTCTAGAAAAGACAAAGATAGTGTGAGTAAGAAAAAGTCAGAATGGTGATTTCCTCTGGGATGTTAGAGAGAGGTGAGTGATTTACCGAAAAGGGTATGAGGAACTTTTGGGGGGTGACAGTCATGTTCTATATATAGATAGAGATGTGGGTTGCACAAATACATGGTATTTGTCTGGATTCATGAAATTACATAATTGTGTTGTACATTTCATTATACATAAATTTTACCTCAAAAGAAAACAAAAGAACTGTCAAAAAATTTACTAAACTGAGTAATGATATGCATGCCAAAATAGTTTGTGGAAAATACACTGATATTTGCAACTTACTTTAAAATACATTGTAAAAAAAATAAGAGGAAAAAGATTTATTGATGAGTAAATAGAGATATGACAAAAAGCATAGTAAAATGTTAATTACAGAATCCAGGTGGACATATGAGTATTTGTTATAAAATTTAACTCTTATGTATGTTTGAACATTTTTATATTAAAATACGAAAAAAATAATGTGAGAGCTTAAAGTTAATAGGGAATGACATATTATTTACCCATCACAGTGGTTATCAAAGTATGGTCACAGGACTATTAGTGAGTCTACAAGGTCAAAATTATTTATGTAATAATACTAAGGTAGCCTTTGTCACTCTCATTCTCTTAGAGGAATATAGTAGAAGTTTCTAGAGGCTACATGATGTGCAATATCAAAATACTTGAAGACAGAAGCAGTTTAAAAATCCCTCTGTATCCTATTTGGACAGATATAGGAAACAGTCCCACTATTCTTGCCAACGTTTTTATCATAAAGAATAATTTATTATATTCAGTACATTTATTATTATATTGAATTCATAGATTAAAGATTAAATGTTATCTTTAAAATGTTCACTCTTTCTATTATGCTACAGTATTTTTGAATTTACTTTTTTAGGTCTTTCATATCCATCAGTTAAATAATTTTTTTCCTACAAGTGTTTTGCATGTCTTATTTTAGACTTATTACATATATAGTAAGTATTTCTTGCTACCAAAAAAAGAGATTTTTGAAATTACATTTTATAATTGGTAATTCATATAATTGAGTATTAGAGCATTGCTTTTTAATAAACATTTAATTTTAGAATAATGTTAAGATTTACAGTAAGTTTGCAACGAAGATAATTCCTTTTCATCCCTCATCTACTTTCCCGCATTTTTAACATTTTACATTACCAGGGGACTGTAGTCAAAACTAAGAAACTGACATTGGTACATTACTATTAATTGAACTCCACACTTTGGATTTCACCAGGCTTTTCATTAATGTACTCTTTCTGTTCCAGGATTAAATCCAGGATACCACATTGTATTTAATTATCCTGTCTTCCCTCTGGTCTATGACAATTTTGCTGTTCTTGTTTTTCATGACCTTGACAGTTTTGAGGAGTACTGGCCAAGTATCCTGTAGAATGTTCTCAACCTGATTTTTTTCTCATGATTAGACTGGGCTTCAGGTTTTTCAAAAGAATGTCATGGAGGTGAAGTGCCCTTCTCAGCACATCATATTTGGGGATACATAATATGTGTAGAACATCACTGATGATGCTAACCTTCATCCCTTGGTTACAGTAGTGTTTGCTGAATTACTTCACTATAAAGCTAATATTTTTTCCTTTTTCTACTCTATTTTTTCTTTAGAAATGAGGCATTAAGTATAGTCACCCTCAAGTTGGGAAAGGGAAGAAACTGAACTTCACCTCCTGGAGGGGTTCATATCTACCTTATTTGAAATTCTTCTACAAGGAAGATTTTCTTCTTTTCCACATTTATTTATTTATTTAGTCAACCATTTATATTAGTATGCACTCATGTATATTTATTTTACACTTAGGTTATAATCCAGTACTATTAATACATTATTTTTGTTTTTCAGTTGTTTTTAAATTGTTTAACTTTGGCTCTTGTCAGGCTGGATCATATGTTCCTTTGGTTCAACCCTATCCTTTTTTTTTATTAAGCAGTTCGTTACTACTGTTGTATACTATAAGATGCTTCAGATTCATCTTATATTTTTCTTGTCCCAGCCCTATCATCAGACCTTTTCCCAAGGACCCCTGGTTGTTTTAATTAGAGAGTTGTATTTAGAAAGCAAGGTTTGGTCAGTGGACATTATTGATTTTTATATATTAATCATATAATCATGTCATTAATAATCATGTCATTAATAATTAATCATGTAATCATGTAATGAATTCTGTTACAGTAATTTGTTTGTTGATTCCCCTAGGGTTTCAGTGTAGAAGGAAGAAAGTAGAGAGAAAGTTAGAAAACGAAACAGCAAACAAACAAAAATTCCCTTGGAAAACCAAGTAAATATCCTTATACTGATAAAGAATATAGATGAAAAACTTAAAATAAACATTGAAAGTCAAGAACAGGAAATGGATGTCTATCGTTGTACCTCTTTTTAACATTGTGCTATATTTTTTGGTAAAATAAGGGTGAAAAAGCTGTACAAGGCCTGGACATAAAGAAACCAGATTTTTATTTGCTTGATTTCTTTAAATGAATACTGGATTATATGTCTGTCTTTTATCTGTTGTAATAATAACTGGTTTTTCTCTCTTTTATCATGTTTATGTTGAATTACATTAATATGCTTTGTAAATTTTGAAATTCCTTATATTTTAGGGCTAAATCCTGTTTGATTATGATGTGTAAATTTTGTCTTTACATCTCTGGATTATTCAGATTTCTAATATATATTATTTTATACTTGGATATAGATGTAAAAATACTAGAATATTAGCAATCTGAATATTCAGGTAAGAGAAAGCTTTGATTTAATGGGGCTAGAATAATCTTGACCTCAAAACTAGACAATCTCCTTGAGCGTTGTGTGTAGGAAGGTAGACTGGAACAACCACTGTAGAAAACAGTATGACAGCTCTTCAAAAAATAAAACATGGAATTGCCATATGATTTGGTAATTCCACTTCTGGGCATGTACCAAAAAGAATTCAAAGCAAAGACTCATTCAGATATTTGTACACTGTGTTCATAGCAGTATTAGTCACAATAGCCAATGGTGAAAGCAACCCAAGCCAACGGTGAAAGCAACCCAAGTGAACATTGATGGATGAATGGATAAACCATGTATGAAACATACATACAATATAATATTATTCAGCATTATTAAGGAAGGATATTCTGACACATGCTACAATATAGATGAAGCTTGAAGACTTTATGCTATGTAAAATAAGCCAGTCACAAAAGGACAAATTCTGATTCTGCTTATATGAGGTACCTAGAGCATTCAAATTCATAGAGACAGAAGGTAAAATGGTGCTTGCCAGGGACTGAGGGGAGGGAGAAAGGGGGAGTTGTTTAATGGGTACAGAGTTTCAGTTTAATAAGATGAAGTCTGTGAATGTATGGTAGTGATGGTAGCACAACAGCATAAATGTACTAAAGCCACAGAACTGTAACTTAAAAATGGTTGATATAGTAAGGTTTATGTTGTATTTTACTATAATTTAAAAAAATAAAAATAACTAGATAGTCAAAATTATAGCCTCATAAAACTAAAGCTTTTTCTTATTTTTTTAAAATCATTTTTTAAAAAATAAAATTGGGGTTATCCATTACTTTTTTATAGAGAATGTCTATAAAATCATCTAGGTCTAGTGACTTTTTCATAGTTATATAGACGTTCAGATGGTTTTCCAGTTCCTACTAAACTATATTTCTAAGAAATTTTCTGTTTTCAAGTATAGTGGAATAAAGTGATTTATAATATTCATATACTCAAATAACAATTTAAAAAGAATTTACTATTTGTGGAATAAATTCTCTTTATTCATATTCATCTGTGCCTTGCACAATGTTATCAGAAGTTATTGCCTTATTAGTTTTTCAGAGAAGTAGGCTTTCATTCAATAAAAATACATTCTACACCCACGATGAATTAACTAGGCACTGTTCAAGGGTCTGCAGGTTCATCAATAAACAAAATAGGTAAAGATCCCTGATGGTAAGCAGCTTACATTTTAGTAGAACTTAATTCTAAGTTCTTTACTTTCTTTATCTTTATCACGAATTTTTGTTCTTATCATTATTTTCTTTCTTTTACTTTGTCTAATTGTATCGCTTTTCTTTTTCTAGTTTATTGAACCAAATGCTAATTTTTTTCTTTCTAGTATATGCATTTAGGTTATAATTTTTTCTACAGAAGTAACTCACAACTGAAACTCACAACTTTTCATAAGGAGTATTTTTATTTTCATTTGACTTAAATTTAAAAGTTTTCATTTTAATATAGGATGTTTCTTTATCACTCTTAATGCTTCACTCCATGTGAAGGGGGAACTCAGTTACTATAACTCTTAGCCCTTCTCTACCCGTTTACTCATTCCACCTTAGAGGAGATAAAGTATCTTATCGGTGTGGCATGACTTAGGAAGAATAAATTGGGCACACTTGGCTCAGCTGCACCATCTTTGTTTTGTGATTAACCAGACTTTGGGGCATAAATATTCATTCAGCTCCTCCCGGGCTGATTCTGCCATTCTTCTTCAGGGTGTGGGGAAGGCCTACTTCATTCCAAAGTTGTCTTTGTCTGTGTCTGAGTGGCTAAGGCAACCTAATAATTCTATTGCTCAATAAAAAGTTCTGTTTCTTGCACAGGGATCATTCGAATCTTCTCTGTACCATTCCAGTTTTAGTAAATGTGCTGCTGAAATGAGTACAAAAAGTTCTAATTCTTTCTTCAGTGAGTGAGTTGTTTCACCTTCCTCCTTCTTGCCAGTTCATGGTCTTATTTCTCAAGTTTAGAAAGCAGGTGGCAAAGGGGCATGCTGATTAAAACGCCCCCTCAGAAATGTAGATATTCATTGTGATTTGTTCTGTGACTTATGAATTATTTCAGTACAGTTTTACATTTCCAAAATATGTATTTTTTTTCTGTTGATTTCTAATTCAGTTGTATTGAGGTCAGCAAACATTGTATGTTATGGATTATTTGGTTATTTTCAAAAACCTCTTTTGTGGCATGGTTTTCTGATTAACTTTTGTAAATTCCCTGTGTGTGAAAAGATTTGTGAAGTGCAGTTGTATGTCTATTAGTTCAAAGTTGTTAATTTGTTTTGTCTAGTCTTTTTTAAAAAATATTTTAACAGCTTTGTTGATATATAATTCATATAACTTAAACTCATTTAAAATGCACAATTCAATAATTTTAAGTATATTCCCAGAATTATGCAACCATCACCACAATTGTTAATAATTTTGGGTATTCTTTTTCTATTTTCTGAAGCAGTGCTAAGAATAGAACAGTATTATGAGCCACATTTTATTGTAATTTTAAATTTTCTGGTAACCAAATTTGAAGAGTTAAGAAAAGGAAACATGAAATTTTTAATACTATATTTATTAACCTAATAAATCTAAAGTATATAACAACATTCAGTTAATACAAATATATTTTTGCATTCTTTTTGTACAATGTCTTTGTAATCTGGTGTCTATTTTACACTTAGAACACATCCCAATTCAGACTAGCTGTGTTTCAGATGCTCAGTAGTCACATGTACTTGGTGGCCACCATATTGGACAGCACAGGTCGATAGTCTTCTAAAATTTTTGTGTGCTTAAGCTATAAGTTGCCAAGCTTGTGAATGTATGTATTCCACTATTTTATTTCTAGATGAGTTGTTGTTTTTGTCATTGTCATGACTCTCTTAATGTTGCTTTTTGCCGTAAATTCTATTTTGCTTGATACTCTAGTTTTTCTTTTGCTTACTATTTTCATGGTAGATCTTTATACCTTTATTTTGTTTTATTCTTCATGTTAATTTGGTTATTTTATACAGGGTCTTGTTCTATCACCCAGGCTGGAGTGCAGTGGCACAATCATAGTTCACTATAACCTCAACTCACCCTCCCACCACAGCCTCCTAAGTAGCTGGGACTAGAGGCACACATCACATCACCATGTCCAGCTAGTTGTTTTTATTTTTTGTAGAGATAAATTAAACAGGGCTAGTTTCAAACTCCTGGGCTCAAGCAATCCTTCAGCCTTGGCCTCCAAAAGCACTGGAATTACAGGTGTAAGCCACTACACCTGATCCTGTCCCTTTATTTACTTTTATTTTTGTCCTAATATATCAGTCAGTTTTAATCTTGTATCTCGTAAATAACATATGATTGGAATTTTTTTCTTACACAATGTAATACACTCCTTTTAAAAATTAGTGAATTTAATCCATTTAATATATATTGTTATCACATGTATTTTGATTAATTTCTGTTGTTTAATTTTTATTCTGTTTTTCTTCTTTGTAAATTTGCATTAGTAACTTTTGCTTTATTTTTCCTGTTGATAGGAAAATTTATATCATATTGCTGTTTTTTCAGTGCTTACCATTAAACTTTAAAAAAAACTTATGCAGGGGTGATTTGACATAAATTACACATAATTAAATTGTACAGTTTGGTAAATTTTGACATAGGTTTATATGTCTCTATATATATCACATATGCATATGTATATTACATATATATCACATTTATATACCACACTTACCATACATATGTAACAGGTATGTATGTAATATGCCTGTGAAACCACCACTACCACAATCAAGATAATGAAATATTAACCACCCTAAAAAGTTTGGCAGTGCCTTCCTTCCATCCCTTCCAACTTTTCCTTCATCGTTGCCTCCCCACCCTTCTCCATGATCAGGCAACTACAAATCTAATTTTAGTCATTATAGATTACTTTGTATTTTTTACAGCTTTATATAAATGGAGTCATAAAGTCTGTACTCTTTTGTGTCTGCTTTTTGTTACCGTAATTATTTTGAGATTTATATATGTTATTGAGTGCATGGATTGTTTATTCCTTTTTATTGCTGAGATAGATTTCATTGTGTGAATATATCATGATTTGTTTACCCATTTACCTATTGATGAACATTTGGGTTGTTTCTAGTTTTTGGCTTTATTTCTATAACAAATAAAGCTGACTTGGACATTTGTTATATGGAAATATGCTTTCATTTCTATTGGGTAAGTATATCTAGGAGTGGGACAGTTGGGCACAGGATAAGTGTGTGTTTAGATTCATAAGAAATTGTCAAGCTCTTTTCCAAAGTGGTTGTACCATTTTACAATCCCTCCAGTAAGTGTGTGAGAGTGTTGGTTCCTCCACTTCCATGTCAACACTTGGTATAGTCAGTCTTTTACATTTTAGTCATTCTGGTAGGTGCCTTGTATTATATTATTTGTGATTTGAATTTTTGTTTTCCTATTGACTACTGATGTTGCACATCTCTTCAAGAGCTTATTTGCCATTTGTATGTCTTGTATGGTGAAGTATCTTCAAATATTTTGTCCATTTGAGAGTTTTTTATATATATATATTCTGGATAGAAATCCCTTATGTATACAATTTGCAAATATTTCAATCTGTGGTTCATCTTTTATTTTTAATTTTAAAATTGTATTTATTTATTTACTCATTTATGTTTTTTGAGACAGGCTCTTGCTCTGTTGCCCAGGCTGGAGTACAAGTGGCACAAACATGAATCACTGCAGCCTTGACATCCTGGGCTCAAAGGATTCTCTCACTTCAGCCTTCCAAGTAGCTGGGACCACAGGCACATGCCACACTGTGCCAGCCTAATTTTTTTCTTTTTAGAGATGGGGTTTCACTATGTTGCCCAGGCTGGTCTTGATTTCCTTGCCTAAAACAATCCTCCCACTTCAGTTGTCTTTTATTTTTTTAACAGTGCCTTTTGAGCAGAGAAGTTTTTAACTTTTACATAGTCAAATTTTTCCTTTACAGACGGTGTTTTTAGTATTTGATTTTTGGCCCTGTGGACTTCCTTTTAATTCTTGCATGCATAGCAATTTATAGTTTAAAATATTTTGTATATTTTATTCAGCATTTCTGAATATTTGTAGTGAAGGTGTTCTGCTTATTATTCTGCAACAACTAATAAGTATATGTTTGAAATTTTTTTTAGTTGTAATGTATGGGAATCTTAACCTTCCAATTTTTTTTTAACCCATTGGAGCCTTTATAAATCTATAGTTTACCGTTTGTATTTTTGCAAGAAAACAGGTATACGTTATTTATAATGACTCTGTCAGTATAATCAAAGATAATCAAGGTCAATTAATAAAAAATTTAAGGGATAATTTATGGGTTAACTAATCACTAATGTAATTTAATGCTTTAATTAATAATACTATTGCAATTAGAATTTAAATGAATTGATTTGCAGTAGCTATCCAGAAACTTAAAAGATATTTATTATTTTAGTGGTCACTTTCTATCTGAATGTTTAATATCTGACTCCTTTGTTTTCTCTTTTATTTTCAGATCACAAAATTTGTGCAGGATAGACATAGAGCTAGAAGAAACAGACTTCGTAAAGATCAACTTAAGAAACTTCCCGTACATAAATTCAAGAAAGGTAAGTGAGTATTTGTTTTCTAAATTATCCTTAGTGTATTTAAGAATGCGTAGGGACTATACTCTTATACTACCTTCTGGGTTCCTGCCATCAACTGTGCCTAACACTAAGTAGACTTTCAGTTAATGAATGAGTGAACAAATGAATGAATGTGAAAGGTGATCTTTTGCTGTGATGACCCGGGGAAGGCAGGAGAGGGATGCACAGTCTGCAGAGAATTTAAAAACAATAATCAAACTAACCAAAATGTTATTATTATCACCATGTGCCATTAGTTCTAAACAATGTCAGTGGATAAAATATTTTTCTACACCAAGTGGACTTCTCCCACTTCCTCCTATTCTGTCTCCCATGATATAACACTGTATAGTGTTGTATTAACTAAACATATAGGTAGGTAGCTGTTATATATAATCACTTACATGTATCATCTTAATTTTCATGCTTTTATGAAATGTATACTATTATTATTTTCCCTGTATAGATGAGGAAAAGGAGGGTCAGGGACATTATGAATTTTAATATCACCTAGCCACTATTGACAGAGCTAGAGGAGAGGTGTGAATAGAATGTCATAGCCAATATAAATTTCCCCTACAGTGTAGTTTCTCTGTGGTTTAGTGAGCTTTTAGTGCAGATACCTGCTTGATAAATCATTTTGGCTGGTACTTCCCAGACTTCATTTTCATGTACTGGTAAAAGTGCTCTGTTTTTAATTCAGAAGTGAAAAAGTGGAGGGAGTGGAGGGAGAAAATAGAGAAAATGGCAATAAAACATAGTTCAGCTGCATTTTTACTTTTCAAATAATAAAATGTTTTATAAACCTGCCAGTAACCATTAACATTAAAAAATAGAACATTTAACAATAAAAATAGTAGGAAAAAGAATATCGTATTCAAATAAATAAATGAATGGACATTTCTAAAAATGCACTGCACTGCCATTATACAGTGTGGATTAGCTAATAGTTATTTTTTTTTTTTTTTTTTAAGAGATGGGGTTTCACTGTGTTGCTCAGGCTGGGCTTGAACTCCTGGGCTCAAGTGATCATCCCATTTCAGCTTCTCATGTAGCTAAGACTATGGCATGTGGCACTGGGCCTACCTTGAATTAGTTAAAATTTCCACATATACCAGAACTAGTTTGAAGATTAGCTTTAGGAATTACTCTTTTAGGCTTCGCTTTGTATGTTTAAAAATATGTTTAAAAAGACCCGGCACGGTGGCTCACACCTATAATCCCAGCACTTAGGGAGGCCAAGATGG